TCTCTCTCTCTCTCTCTCTCTCTCTCTCTCTCTCTCTCTCTCTCTCTGTTTTTCTCTCTCTAACAGACTACCAGGCAAACAATTATTAATTAATTAATTAATTAATTAATTAATATATAGATAGATAAATATAAATAAAAATTCCCAAAAGAAACAAACACAAAGCCTACAAAAACACAAAATTGGAAACCATAATATACAAGCAGAAGCAGATCAGAAAAAAAAAACTCAAATAAAGCAATACCTACAAAAATACTATATAAATGTTAACGTCATTGCTAAAATTATAATTTGTATGGTTCATTCAAATGTTATGCTTGCCAGCTATAAGCTTCTTGAGGGCAAAGGCTGGGTGTTGGCTATCTTATGTTTGAGCATGACTTATTTGAATTGGATGAGTTTACCAACAAGGACACCCCTCTGGAAATAAGCTTGCAAAGTAGGTTTTGTTGATCTTGCAGACGAAACGCTGAAGTTCCCAGACATTGAATGACCTGTCCAACATAACACAGCCACATAACAGAATTGGGACAGCTAAGCTGAGGACTCTATACAAGTGTTATATTCATTCCTCAAGGGGAAACTGCCTACATGTTGATTTAGGGCTTCAGGGTGACGTTTAAAAAAACACTACAAAGTTAGACTTGTTTGGCTAAAATTTTCAGAATTAACACTATGTATACTTTTGAAAAATGGACACTAGCTAATTCCAATATTTGTCCGTCAGACTCTTATTATTTTGTCTCTTATATGTGGATCCCTAACCAATCAATCCATAGTAGGAAAGGGTTAATTTCATTTCTAAGGTTATCACTGATTTCTTGGCAGGAACTTAAGGAAGGAAACTGAAAGTCATCGGGAAGATCCCTACTAACTGGCTTACTCCCTGAGGTTTGCTCAGCCTGCTTTTTTATACCATCCAGGACTGCCTACCCAGAGAGGGCATCACCCACAGTGAACTGGCCCTCCCACATCCACAATTAATCAAGAAAATGCCCTACAGACGTGCCTACAGGCAATCTGGTGGAGATGATTTTCTCTATCCAGGTTACTCTTCTCCAATGACTCAAGCCTGTGTCAAGTGTCATGACAGTTAATGATCTCCTCTTGCAGTTTGATGCAAAGCAGAAAGCATGTACTAAATATTATCACACAACTCTTGGGGTTCTTGTTACACAAAACTTTTCTTCCTCTTCTCTTTTTCAGTATTCCAAGATGTGCATGTCATGATATTTGCTGGGTTTGGCTTCCTCATGACCTTCCTGAAGAAATATGGTTTCAGCGGTGTAGGTTTTAACCTCTTTCTTGCTGCTCTGGGCCTCCAATGGGGTACGATTATGCAGGGCCTTCTTCACAGCAATGGACAGAAATTTCACCTTGGAATCAGAGAGTGAGTGCCCTTGAATGTGATCACCTTCAAGTTCATATGTTAAAATCTTAGCTCCTAAATCAGTGCACAGTTAAATAATGAAGGCAACAACCTCATTAGTGGGGCTAGTGCCCAGGTCAAAGCTACAACTTACTGTGCTACTGTGCTATTATGGTGTGCTATTTACTCTTTATTCAACCCATTCTTTCTTTCACCCTCAGTATGATAAATGCAGACTTCAGTACAGCCACGGTTCTAATTTCCTTTGGCGCTGTTCTGGGGAAAACGAGCCCCATCCAAATGTTGATCATGACAATTCTGGAAATTGCTGTGTTTGCTGGCAATGAACATCTTGTTATCCAAGAATTTGAGGTAAGGATGAGAAAATATATACTTATTGGTACCATAAGCCATGAGTGCTGACTGTTCATAAGGGCAAGAGTGTTACCAGACCAAATAGTAAGAAATAGCCACACTCTAGGGAGTGTTTATTGCAAAATAGGGTAAAGGGAGTTGCATATTATTTCATCTTTTTTTTACAAAACCATGGAAGGTACGTATCATTGTTACTACTGTCTGTCCTCAATAAAGTAATCACAGTAAATTGTTGGGGGCCATCAGCCACAGTCGACCGGGTTCACCTGAAAGAGAGGCTGGGAATGGAAGAAAGGACAGAAGGGCGGGAAGAGATGAAGCCAGGACAAAGGTTTTTGATCGAAGCTCAATGCTTTAATGTTCAACTTTCAATTTAAAGGGGATAACCCACACCCACCCCCAGAGTTCCTTCTTGCTTCAGCTGGGGGTGAGCGCTGGGGGTGAACGGAAGCAATCCTCTGGGGGTGAGGGGAATCCATACTTAATTGTCAAGGCAAGCTCAACAGGCAGTCTATTCTTCTCAGCTTGTGTACCAGGCTACAGACAGCCAAGGAGGTGCCAAGACAGGCAATGCCAAGGCAGGCAATGCCTCCAGAGTCCTATTGTTTGGTCTATTGTGGTAAACAAGGTCTCATCTCTCAGGGCTGCTCAAGGCTGGGGGAGGGGCACACTAAATGATTCACCTGAGTCTCAGTCTGGATGTAAGCCACATTTTTCTCACTCTATCACACATTTGATTACACCATGTTGCCTATTAATAATTAATTCCCACTTATATTTAAACAATCGTGTAAATAGTCCCATATAAAGACTTATATGGGCTCAAATCTTTTTCTCTATGAAATGTCACTAGTTCCCTCGAAAATAATACGTAGGATATTTCTCACCACTCTGATATTCATTTTCACTTATTTATACTTATTTTGAACAGTTGATTCAAGAGCTAATATTTTAACTTTCAAATATTGGTGGCTTGCCAACAAACAAAATTAGTTAAGGTTTCTATCTTTACAAAGGCTAGGAGTATTGTGGGTCAGTGAAAATCAAACTTATATATCCTTTCAATGTTAAATTTCTATTTATGACAAATTATCTGAGTGGATACTTTCTCTTGGAAAGTAATAATGAAAATAGTATGTTGGAGTTTCATCAGTCATGAAGGGGGAGACATGCACTTAATGCCAAAGGAGGAAAGATGCATATTGGTTCATGTCTTCAGAGCTTTTATTTACTCTATAGGCCCTTGGCTCTATTGTTTCTGGACCCATAGAAAGGCAGATCTGTGAAGAATGCCTTTGTGAAGATTGATCACATTGGTGGCATGCATTAGAGTGAAGCAACCCTACACCTGGCAGACAGAAAGTAAAGGGTCTGGGGACCAAAATTATTCTTCTAATGACAATACTTCCTACAGTTTTTGAGTTTTAGCTGTCCACTCAATAATAGAAGCTGAAGATCCATTAAAGGTACCACATCCCTCATGATACAACCACATTCCCAAAGCCACATCTCTGAATACTGCTATACTGAGGACCAAGCTTCCAACACGCATGTACACCCACTCAAAGACCTGAAAACATAATGGAAAGTGGAGATCCTTGGAAAAACTGTTGAATGTAGATTAAAAAGTAAGGATAGAGTTCTCTTGGAAAGTAATAATGAAAATAGTATGTTGGAGTTTCATCAGTCATGAAGGGGGAGACATGCACTTAATGCCACAGGAATATCAAGTACAAAGGCTCATTGGTTATGGTGGACTAAAGAAAGAACTTGAGTTGCAGTGCATGAGAGTAGCTGGCCAGTAACTGGTGGCGCTACCATTGGACGAAGACAAGATCAACCAAAGACCCTATAGGCTCAATGTGCTGTATAAGCGAAGACTAATTTTGTGGATTCTGAGGAGGAAATGGGAGAGGCTCTTTTGCTACAAATCAGTGAGCATTTATAGAGCCACACAGACTTATATGACATTTGTAAATCCAAATATAATTAATGGTCACCTATGTCTCTCCTGAAATAATATGCCAAAGAGAAGCAAGGTTCCTATATGGAAGTGTTCAGAAAAGTTTAAGTTGAGAATATATATGTGCTAGAGTGGTAACTGAACTCAGTTAGTGATGACTCTCTTCAAGGGCACTGATCTTTGTCCAGTCAACGATGGAATAAACGAGAAGTTTCTTCTACTTCACCACTCTGAAGATCTTAAATAAATTGATGATGTTTTCATTCACCTACCTTAGTTTGCATACAGAATTGCTCCTGGCTCAACATTCTGGATTTTCTCTCTAGAAACCCAAAATGGAGAATGCTTGATTAAATCCATACCAGATCCTAGGATGAGAACAAAATTCTCATCAAATCAGTATTGGAACTCAGCAGGTCTTCATGTGTTGCATAAAATAATGTGGAACTACTTAGGGAAACTGGCCTTTTCAAGGTTCAAGTCTTTGAGTTATTTAAGGTTCACGCACTTGAGGTATAGCTAAATGAACTTTAACTGCAAAGCCAAATACACATGAATCATTTTTGTATTGCAACAAGTGCAATAGCTCATATTTCTCTGAACATTTCTCCAACCTGAAATAGCCTAATGAGTTTTGGATGCTCAATAAGAGCCTGACACTTAAGGAATTTGGCCTCACCTAAAAACCAACAGAACTTTATTAGGTGGATAATATATTCCAGATATATTCCAGGCATCCTGAATTTCAGGCATATTTAGTACTTTTTTGGTAGTCACATCACAAGAAGTACCTCACTGTTGGATGTCTCAAGAATTTGTAGTACTTTTTCTCATTTTACTGCCTCATTTTATCTTTTCATTAACATCTCCCCAAACAATTCTTTCATCGTCCTTTTGCCTATATTGAGAGCCAGCTTCACCTCCATTTCTTGCAAATGCACTTTGTCCTGGCAGGCCACTGACACTGGAGCATCAATGACAATCCATGCCTTTGGAGCTTACTTTGGTTTAGCGGTAGCAGGAGTCTTATACCGGCCTGCCCTCAGAGGTGAACACCCAAATGAAGAATCTGTGTACCACTCTGACTTGTTTGCCATGATCGGTGAGTAAAATGAACCTGATACTTGTCTATTTGGTGATACGTACACTTGAACGTGTGTGTGAAGATGCTCAGAAGGCTTCTTTTGGAGATCACTTTGTCTTATGGTGAGTCAGTAGTCCCTGTTCTGCCTGGCTTTCTGATGATTAGGGCTTCTAAAATGACAAACGTCAATTCACAGAGCAAACTACCCTTTAAAATGGTCTTCTCTATAATAACTAACTCCATTTATGATTTATAGGAACACTTTTCCTGTGGATATTTTGGCCCAGCTTTAATTCAGCCATTGCTGATCATGGAAATAATCAGTATAGGGCCATTGTCAACACATACATGTCCCTTGCTGCTTGTGTGATCACAGCCTATGCCTTTTCCAGTCTTGTTGAACGCCGAGGCAGGCTGGATATGGTAAGTGTCAATGTTCAACCGATGGAAACTTCCTTAATGTCAACAGTTGCATTCTCGAGAACATTTTGAAAATAATATTCATTCATTTACTACCTACTCCGCTACGATGAAGTCAAGGAATTCCCAGTTTAGTAAGTTATGCCAGTAAGGAAACCAGACAGAACGGATTTTTTTTTTTCATTATAAAACTAAGTGCTCTAAACTCCTTAGAAATTTCCCATTTAATTCTTGACTTGTCAAAGAGTAAGACTAGGAACTAAGACAGTAGATGCTGCCTCTCTTTTCCCACCTGCAAACATTCTCAAAGTAACAACAATTCTGTGCAGTCACTGGTAAAGTTTCCTTCCTTCGGTGGACGGTCCCACACCCTTGCATGTCTGACCAGCACCAACTGGACTTAGTGGGGTCTCAAAAGTGTGACATTAGGAGGGAACATACTATAATGCATGTAATACAGGGGAATTTGGAAGAAGAAGATAGGCAGTAGTTGTGATTATATTTCAGTGTATATGTGCATACTTTTTTTAAAGGAAAAAAATAAACAGAAACAACAATCCCAAACGTGGCTCCAGAAAAGGAAAATGACCATTTGGGTGGTAGTTAAATCCAAATAAGAGTTTTAATGAGACTGAAGTAATGAGAGTTTTATTTTTCTATGTTTATGTAAGAGGTTGATGCTGGAGGAATGTAGACATGTAGAAATTCTCTGAAGTAATTTTTGCAAATTCTGTGTGCCCAAAAAATGTAACGTGACATCTTTTTTTTTTTTAAGTTGAACTCCTTGCCTGGAGCTTCTTGCCTTTGAGTTAGAGAAATGGCTATTTGAGACAAAACCTCAGATCAAGCACTCTTCTTTTCTCACCTAGAGTAGGAAATAAATGTTTTATTTATTTGTTTGTTTGTTTGTTTGTTTATTAAATATATATCATATATGTATTTAAGTTTTTTTTATGTTTAGGGATGTTTTGCATGCAAGCATATCAGTGGACCACATGCATAACAGTGTCCATGGGGCCCAGAAAAGGATATTGAATCCCCTGTAATTGGAATCACAGAGCAGTTGTTAGCAACTGTGTGGGCTCTGGGAGCTGAAAGAGGTCCTCTGATAAAGCAGAAAATGTCCATAAATACTGAGCCATCTCTAAAACCCATATATAAAGCAAGGTTAAGAACATATATTTCAACTCTTTACAATTTGGGTCATAAGAGACAACTGTCAGCACTTTTTTTTTAAATCATACTGAACAGATAATCTTTTTAAAATGACAGATACCCAACTCTTTGGGTAAAGCAGCCACACTGTGTTTTCTGAGCATTCTGGTGGGCTGAAATTGGTTCTCTCCCCAGTCTGAAATATTTCAGGTCAAAATGTATCTCAAGGAAAGAAAAAAATGTGTGTATGTGTGTGTGTATGTGTGTATGTGTGTTTCAGCTAACAACTAACCCAGGGTTCACTACTCTGCCTTCCTCCTGTCTTTCTGACATTGCCTCATCTGGCTCTCATTCATGCTTTTCCCTCCACACAGGTACACATTCAGAATGCTACTCTAGCAGGAGGTGTCGCTGTGGGCACATGTGCAGACATGGAAATCCCCCTATATGCTGCTATGACCATTGGAAGCATTGCAGGGATCATCTCTGTGCTTGGATACAAGTTCCTTACTGTATGTATGATAGGCATATTGACCCAAACCTTAAATCTGTATCACTATCTTCTCATGTCCAACCAGTTGAACGGACCCGTGAGATGATAGGGAAAGAGATATGGTGTTCCCTTTCCTACATGCCTTTCCCTGGAGGACAATTATCTTTCTTTCAGAAATATCATGCATATTGGAGCTATGCAGTGACTCTATCCTGACTTCTTTTTGGGAGAAGAGAATCTGGTACTAGTTATCAGTAACTTAGCATGAAGTCCATGTTAAGGATTTGTGTTCATTTCTTTAAAGAAGTTTCAGAGAATCTTCTATTCTTGCTTGTTTGTGAACTTGACGTTCTCATGAGGCAAACGAAATGTTCCTAGAAGATGAGAAGGTGAAGTCACTCCCTTCCAATCTAGACAGTAAGAACCAATTGTATTTAAAGTGTTTGGCATGGGTTCATTTCAATTTCAAAAGAAAATCAAGCCTTGGATAAAATTTCCTCTTTTGAGAAGAGAAAGAAATGAAGAGAAGGTGTGAGAGAATACAAAGTAGCAGACAGCAGTTGCACAGGATAAATGAACCTTGAAGTACACAAGAACTACAGATTTTTTTTTAAAGTACCATGTATGGAAGTTATGCTATGAGTAGCTTTTAGCTGTTTATATCAGAAATTCAAAATTTTTAAAAAAAGGAGTAAATGTGGATATGATGGGTCACTAATTTGGTTTTGCTGTCAAAACACTGTAACTATCTGTTTGTATTGAGTAATAGCACATTGTGTATCTAACATATGCGTGGTAAGAATTTATAAGTATATTCAGAAGAATATACACAGTGGTTTGCTCCTGTATGGAGCTCTGTATGCCTTACAAAATAATGACTTTCTCTCTTTTACAACCTTAGCCACTGTTAGCTAATAAACTGAGGATCCAAGATACATGTGGGGTCCATAACTTGCACGGCTTACCTGGAGTGTTTGGAGGCCTTGCCAGCATTGTGGCCATAAGCTGGGGGAAGTCTACAAAGTGAGTCAAAACCAATGGGTGTTTCTTAGCCCTGGTCCTGTGCTTTCTAATTGTGTTTGTTGAAATACATAGTGATGGGGGTGGGCCCCTGTTGTTCTTACTGTTGTCAGTGTAATATTCTAGGCTCAAGGAGACATAAAGGAAAGAATACCACTAATGAAGCTTTTCTGGTTGCCTCCTTTCACAGACTTCAATTGCTTAATCTTTCATCAACTCTATTACCTGCCTGCTCTGAGAGAAGCACACACTAGGGATGCCAGCACCTTCAAAGTTCACTTGCCATTGATTTAGTAACTGCGCACATTTCACCCCCGTTTATCACATTCTTCTGTCCTCAACTTTTAACAGCTTTTAAAAGTTACATATATTTACTTGTGTGTGTGTGCACATGTGTGTGTGTGTGTGTGTGTATGTGTGTGTGTGTGTGTGTGTGTGTGTGTGTGTGTGTGTGTGAAGATAGAAGACATGTGCGTGTCATATGTGCATGTGGAAGTCAGAAGGCAGCTTGCTGGGGCTGATTCATTTCTTCCATGTGGATCTGGGTATCAAACTCAGGTAGTAGGGTTTGACAGCAGTCTTCTTTACACACTGAGCCTTCTCCCAGCCCAATAGTTTATTTGAAGGCAATGATTCTCAAACTGTAGGTCAAGACAGTTTGAATGACCCTTTCACAGGGGTTGCATATCAGATATCGTGCAGATTAATAGTAGCACCAAAATTGCAGTTATGAAGTAGCAACGAAAATAATTTTATGGTTGGGGGTCACCACAACATGAGGAACTACATTAAAGGGCTGCAGCATTATGAAAGTTGAGAAGCACTATTTTAAGATAATTGCCTTTGGTATTACCGATATAATCTTCAGTGTCTTCATTGCCTTCTCCCTAGCATGTATGCTGAACTTTAGTTTTTTTGATGTTATTAATGGGCCTTCTAATTTCACTAAAATTATTTATGTAGAATGGTGAGGAAATGACAGCTATGTTGCCTTAGATATTATTCCACTTACCATCTAGAAGAGGGGTTCAGGAACTGATATTCAGTAGATATTTATTGTATGAATCAAATCAAAGATCAATCTTTTGAAAGTCTGTAACTTCTTCTGATGAATGCTTTATTAACCACGGCTAGTGAATGACAAAGAAAAAAAATAGAAAAGCACAAGTGACTACACATTTGCTTGTAGGTAAAACAATACATTGGTCTCAAGATGGCAAACACGCTTACCTTCAGTAGACAAAGTTTGTTTGTTGCCATTCATTCTTAGAAAAACATTTAATTCTTTGACTTTGATTACCTAGGTCTATGGCTATGCAGGCAGCAGCACTGGGATCTTCCATTGGCACAGCGATTGTTGGAGGTTTGCTTACAGGTCTGCATCAAAAGGGAACAATTAGCTGGGTTCTGTGGCACATGCTTGTAACCATGCTACTTGGGAAGTTAATATGAAAGGACTGGGACTTCTGGACCACTTTAAAACTATCTCAAAACAATAGAAATAATAATGATATAAACTCTTGCCAGTACCTTATTACTCCATTACTTAGCAGAAGATACTCCCTGTAAATTCCATAATGTGCTAAACTCCTGCTAACTAATTTTGCCAACTAAAAGAAGTATTTTCCTAACAGTATTCTAATTACTTAGTAAGGAAGAAGCCTCCCCTCTTCATGGGCTTTGCTCTCCCTCTGCCCACACAGGTCTAATTCTGAAGTTACCTGTCTGGAACCAGCCACCTGATGAGTACTGCTATGATGATTCTGTTTCTTGGAAGGTAATGTACAGGCTTCAAAAAGAATGTAGATGACAGTTCTGCCACCATTCAGGTAGCCAAAATGCTTGGTAGGCAAGGAGGACATTCCAAATGCTGGTCTCTAGTAGCTTCTGCCCTTTCCTGTTCGGTAGTGTCTGCAGGGACAGCAGCTAGGTAGAAACACTGGTAACTGGTTCTCAATAGAGTTATAGTCCTAGCATAGGATTAGAGTATCGGGACCTTTATTGCAATTAATCATCCACCCTTGTCAGCAGCCGGTGTTATTGTTCCCATCTTTGGCCTAGACCTTTGTCCTAGGAGACTTCATTGTGCCTTTGAACTCTTATGGTGACCAGGTCTTCTTTAGGTTTTAGGTCCCCTTTTCTCCTTCTGTAGTTGTAGCTCTGTTTTCTGCACTCTCTCTGTCTCTCTCTGTCTGTCTGTCTGTGTCTCTGTCTCTCTCCTCCTCCTCCTCCTCCTCCTCTTCCTCCTCCTCCTCCTCCTCCTCCTCCTCTTCTCCTTCTCCTTCTCCTTCTCCTTCTCCTTCTCCTTCTCCTTCTCCTTCTCCTTCTCCTTCTCCTTCTCCTTCTCCTTCTTCTTCTTCTTCCTTTTCTGCTGGCTACTTTCTTCCACCTTGGCTGCTTTGGAACTATCCACCTGCTTCTTCATCTCAGACACTTAATAACTCATCTGTCACTAGGATAAGTAGCCAG